GCGTGATCGACGGAGTGGAGGGCCACACTGAAATCACAGACAAATGCGTCGGAGGCACGTTGCTCTCATTGACGTTTGCAGGGGAATCGTTTGTGTTTTGCAACTCGGCTGCCAACGAGCTCGCATTTGCGGTGGGCCAAGATATGGACATTTCGATCGAGTATCTCGCCGACCCCTCGCAACTTGACAGTATTCAAGTGCCCTCAACTGCAAACGAAGTCGCGCTAGATTGCCCGTCGATTTCGCAGTCGTCACACCCCGCAACGTTGTGGACTGCACCACCGATGACTCGTTCCTTGGCCCGAGCTACCATGGAAACTCTCACTTCCAACCGCATTTTGTCGGTGAAAGACAAATCCGCGTGTGCATGCAAAGGCGCGAAGAAGCCGTGTCTGTTTGTCCATGGGACGGGCGAAGATGCGGCTGGGCCCCCAACGTCGTCGTTTTCGTCGTACTGGGGGGACGTGTCATCCCCTTGTTGTTCCAGCTCGACGTTTGTTCACTTGGACACGGTATCTCAAGGCTGGGACGACGCAGCGCTGCAGCACGAGTTTTGCAAAGCCGCCGCGGACGTCGCCACCCAGTCGTCTTCAGGGGCCATTGGAGGTCTTATCTTGGTGACCCACTCGATGGGCAACGTCATTGCCTCAGGGGCGATCGCATCCAACGTGTGTACGTTCTCGAAAGACGTGACGTGGGTGTCGCTGGCGTCCCCCCAACAAGGCAGCCAAGTCGCGAACCTCTTGCAACAGCAATGCCTCAAGGGAGGCTGGAGCAATATCCTCAAAGTGCCGCTGTCGTGGGTCGGCTACTGTCCTCCCGGTCGCGCGTACCTTTCCCTGCAGCACCAATCCACCGTGAACGCTACCGAGCAAGCCGCGTTTGCTGCCGGCCAACGGGCTAGACAAGAGCATGTATCGCATGCAGCTTGTGGCGTCAGTGCTTTTGGTCTGAATTCGATTTACTCGGCGCCGTTGGCCATTGTGGACAAAATGGCGAGTCATGCCAGTGCCAGCGATGGCTTCGTGGACTATAACAGCTGCTCCGTGGGACTGAACACCAACGATTTTGGAGGGACTTCGAGCAAGCACTACGTAGGGCCATTGAACCATGCCGACTTGTCCTTCCGCACGGGTGATGGCTGGTGGGGGGACAATCGCAAACCGCTCAAGTGGTTCCAGTGTCTGTTGTGACGCGTTCAATTGAAAGCAAACAGTATGTGTTAATGCATTTAAAAAGTGGTCATTTTGCATTTTGTCATGTGTTTGCGGTAGAAGTTGTTGCCTTTCACACGATGTTCATGGTTAATCGCACTCAAAGTCACAAGTCCAAGTACAATACTATACTGTAACGTAAACGATCCTTCTTGTCCTCATTTTGACCCCGTAGAGCATCTCCACCGCACCTCCAAATGACCAGGAGAATAATCATTATATTAGTGTGATCTGCGAAATTCTCACTTTAGATTAGTGTGGAATATCCCCCTCCAATTACTATTTGAACAGAATCGGTTCAAACTTGTTCGACCGCACTGCACGACTTGACAGTGAATCAGAAGGCAATCACAACGCAAGGTAAAGTTCCCCGTTGGGTCTGTTGCGGTGATAATGTAGGCTTAAAGTCGTTGCCTATCCCAACAACGAGTGCGACCGCCCCGTGAAGACGATGACAGCACCCACAGTTTTGCTGTGTTTATTGCTATGTACTGAGGGGGTAACGCTATGGGCGCTGTCGAACGGCCATCATGCACATCTCATGACGTCGAAGCAGAAGTCCAGCAGTGCGTTGGCGTCGGACATAGCATTGAGGTTGTACCGGATGTCTCGGATAACTGGGCGCTCAACGTAGCTCAACACACACAGAACTAAGAAACGACGTTGCTGTGTCATTGTTTTGATCCTCGTCGTCTCCCCATAGAATCCTAGACAGATGCCGATCTTCAAATGCATAGGTCCGAGTCGACGCCGTCGAGCCGCCGCACATGCGTCAGACAGTATCTGAGGTAGTCAAAGCACGTATTTTATCTCGATTGCCAAGCGAAAAGCTGCTTGCAAGGACAACTCCCACAGCGTGAGCACCATCGCTGGGCAAAGTGATTTCCCGCGGTGGATGAGTATCCGAATAATATTTACTTATACGGATATTTGTGAGTAGAACGCGAACGCATTCGTGCAAGACAACAATTTTGATATTCCGTTCGAACTGCATTTGACACAAAAAGCAAGGTTCGGAGCAGAACGCGACCACGAACGGACACTTGCAAAACCTCGCTAATGTTTTTCGTCACCATGTTGAAAATAAATTGCAACGTGATTTAGTATTTCGTCGGGGCTCATTCGCACCGCCATTTGAGTATTAATTGTAAATAAATTAGTTCAGACCCATGGTATCCCATGAAGAGTGTAAACTTGTGGCATGGTGTCCATCGACTGCGAAACCTCACGATCATCCAAAACATGTAAAATCATTTATAAAATGACTTGATAACATTAAATCTACTTCGCCAATTTCCATCGAGCCATCGTGACGAGAGGATACGAGTGCAATTGACCCGTCATCTTGAGGAACCCTACGTTAACATGCCAAGAGGTACGCTTTCAGTATTGATTTCGTTTAAAACAAGTGTACTGGAGGCTGCGGGAAATGACCAACCCAGCCATCCTCGGCGACATAACCGATGAAGAATGTATGTATCGACGAAGGAGACGAGTTTTGATGCAAGGCTACTTTGTATTCGATTCCGCTGTTCAAAATGTACACGTATGGACTTCAAATTTTGGCCGCCAGTTTCAATGCTTTAAAGTATCCACTGCAGCATTCCACGAGAATACCGTTACGAATTTTTAATATAAAATAAATATGTCATAATTTAAAAAGATAACATCAAAATATAGCATCAAGTAACGTAAGTTAACTTCGATGTTTGTCATAATTTTCGATAACTATCGAGAAAGTACATGACTTTGTCGTTGAATTGCTCAGCAACGGCTTGTCTGAGTGTGATACATTTAATATGAAAACTGAAAAGATGGCTGCGGGCTATATAACGAGACGTGATGTGTGGCGATTGCACTTATTTAGCATGCGTACAGTGATCTCAAACCTGCCAAATAACTGAAATACAGCTTTCTTTGGTGTGATTATATCCCGCAATAAGCATCGTAACACCGTCCATGATACTTCGTTACGTAGTATCAATGCTGTACATGCTACCATGTTCTTGCGTTGATCGGTGATCTCTGAGCCACGAAGCAGCATTGGTGAAATCAAAAATGGGTGCATTTTAGGATTTTGTTCCACCTAGGGGTGTGACTGAATTTGTGCAATTCTGGCCAAGTTTTAGTCAAATGTAATGAGTTTTATTAGTTAAAGATCGCCACACATCATTGAATTACCTTACCAGTACCAGTACAAAGTAATACATTTAGGTAAGAAATCAGATTTCTTCAATATTGACCATTGGAAATACCTTAATCTGTTTTTGGAAAAGGGTCACTACAATACAAAAACATCTTACTTTTTTGGCGCACTGTGGGGTATTTGTCAGTTTGAATGCACTCTGTTTGAATGATGAGAATATGAAAAACTACTTTGTGTCTAGTCAGTCATTCAGTCTCTGGGTTAGAGGTCCTATTGTTGGTTGAAGGTGGTTTTACACGCACTTTCGTAAAACAAGTTGTTTGCCATTTTCATTCTGACAAACAACTTGGTTTACGCCAACACATCAAGGTGCTTGCCGCAATGGAACTGAAGCAGCTATGGCCAATACTACTACATTGTATTAGTATGTAGTACTAGTATTTCATTACCCTTATTGGCAAGTAGTACAGTTGTACAACATCACTGTCCAACCTTGATTACTAGGTAGTACAACAGGATACACTGTTGTAATCAAGGTTGGACATGTGAAATGTGAACTGAACGAAGCGTTGATTTGGATACTATTGCATTACAAACAGGCTACATCATGCTAGACATGAGCTATCAGCTTGTGCGAGCTATTCCCTCGAAACAATACCGACGATGTTCCTACTGTACTTCGGAAGTATGTACTATTGTGCTTTTCATGTAATTTGCCCGTTGTTTACAGGTTAACTGCCTTAAACACCAGACGTTTATAGTAATATACTACTAGTAGTAAGCCCGATTGAAGGTAAAACAACTCTAACCACAAGTTTAATTACTACTATTTTAATAGTAGTAATGGAAATAAAGTACTGCTATTTAAATAGCAGTACTTTATTTCCACCGCAAACTAATCGAGTTACAGCACCAGGCAACTTACCTACGCAGTGCAACCAGTTCATCACGATGCATACCGTAGGCTGTGAAATGGGAGTACTATACATCGTGTAGTTGTTGTGAGCCCTTGCTTTCCACGTACAGTACAAACGTTAGTACAGAGCAAGTATTATGGCATACTAGTAGTTTGAATCATTGGACAGAGTGACGACTAGGCCTAACTATATCCCTAACGTTATAAGTTACTCGGAGTACAGTAGTTAATGTTTGAGGTGATCACGGATGCGAGGTCATGCATGGGGAGGTGCAAGCAAGCCAGATAGTAGATTCACAGAATATACAGCACTTTATATTAACTGCAAAAACCATAGTGTGATTTTGCAAATGTACAGTCCGCGGTAACGTTAGGGCATTTTGTGGACTTGTGATTTTGACCGTGATTATTGCGACTGTTTGTTTTCAATTAAACACGTGTCTGTTGTAAGTTACAACAAACACTGGAACCACTTGAGCGGTTTGCGATTGTCCCCCCACCAGCCATCACCCGTGCGGAAGGACAAGTCGGCATGGTTCAATGGCCCTACGTAGTGCTTGCTCGAAGTCCCTCCAAAATCGTTGGTGTTCAGTCCCACGGAGCAGCTGTTATAGTCCACGAAGCCATCGCTGGCACTGGCATGACTCGCCATTTTGTCCACAATGGCCAACGGCGCCGAGTAAATCGAATTCAGACCAAAAGCACTGACGCCACAAGCTGCATGCGATACATGCTCTTGTCTAGCCCGTTGGCCGGCAGCAAACGCGGCTTGCTCGGTAGCGTTCACGGTGGATTGGTGCTGCAGGGAAAGGTACGCGCGACCGGGAGGACAGTAGCCGACCCACGACAGCGGCACTTTGAGGATATTGCTCCAGCCTCCC